TGGTTGATAAGATTTTTCTGTATTGACATCAGTGACAATAGCATTATATGATGGTTCTATGGAATATGATGCATTGTTCTCAAATATCGAGGGTAAATTAGAATACAACGTGGTGAGATCCTCGACATCAGACGCCATATTGATCATATGAACATTTTTCTTGCATTCGGTGCGAAAAAGAAGCAAAGAAAACGGATGGCGATAAAGAGGAAAAGAACGGAAAGAACAGAATGAAAAGAAAAAAAAACAGAAAAAAAAAAAAAAAATACTGCAGAATTGACAATAGCCGAATAAGTCGGACCGAAAAAAAAGGATGATGATGAGTGTGAAACACGGAAAAAAATGCGGGCGAGCAATAAACAAGCAAACTCAGAGAAAGAAGAAAGAACAACAGCAGTAGCTTATAGAACCGTCAAACATGCTTCTTTTTTTTCTTATTCCTATTCTCTTCGTCTTGTTCTAACGTATTTTTTTATATACACAATTCTTGCGACTCAAAACTGCCTTTCATTCATATTAGTACTGAGACAACAATTTTCTCTGTCTTCTATTTGCCATTAGATCTATAAAGCATATTAACAGATGAAAGAAGAAGAAGAAGAAGAAAAAAAAACAAAGAAAGCAAGAATATTTATAGCAAATACATTGATGGATATTTTTTTTTTTCTATAGAAATACTCTTGCTCACTCATCGACTAATACATTTGCTGTTGGGTAATTTAATCAGATAGGTAAATGTTAACTAAATGACAGACGATGTATTTTCAAATGTAATCGATATGTGTACGGATATCAATGAAACAAATATCTGCCTCCATTGTAAATCTGTCAATCATTTATCCTCCACAAAGAATTTATTAAATATTGAGATATTTATCAATGGAATAAAGAAAAGAATTTCTTTTTTTGTCAGTCATTTACAATTTTTCTACTTTAATTATCGTTATCAAGGTCAATAGCAATGATGATTGATTAGTCTTTGGCAGGGGATATATATATATATATATGTATACATAGATATGTAATAGAATCTAGAGTAAACTGCTATGATAATTAAATAGGAGGGAAAAATGCATTATATACGACATTGACTAGTGATGAGCGAAATAATCGGTTTTAATTTTTCTCTTTTCTTCATTGATTCTTAAATTTATTCGACACGAAAGGTCATTGTTGTCATTATTAAATTTGACAGATAAATAAATCAATTTAATTTTGTTTTTTTAATACCAAAAAAAAATATATGCATATATATGTTCTCATGTAAATTCTTAAAAAGATTCTCAAAAACATAAATAATAATAAGACAGAAATAACATATGAAGCACCCATTCTAATGCTTAATAATCATATTCCATTTGTTACATATCATTAAATGAAAGCAATCAACTGAAGCAATCAACCGGCAATGTTAAAAGATAACTTACGGCATCTTGATCAAGATCACTTGTATTTATAGCAACAAAATCTGTGTCAAAATCCGACGAAGAATTTGATGTAACTGTAAGTTGTGTTTCTGGTATTGTTTTAATTTGTTCAGTAACATCTTCTACACAAAAAAAGAGAATCTCTTGCAGTTGATTAACTATCTGAATTTATATGCATACAAACCTGGAGATGAAAATTCTGATGGATTTATTGATACAACTGGAGTAGATAAATTTGTTTCATCTTCATTAATACTATTTGAACGACTTGTACTCGGCGTATGAATAACACCATCATCTCTTTCCATGGTGTTTAATTTGCAAAATGAATCTGAAAGACTAAAAATTCCAATATGTAAACCTTATAATTGAGACCAAACACCTCTAGCTAATATCTTAAGTGTATCCTTCATATTACACATTATTTCATTCAGATCTTTATGGATGATTTCTTAAATAAACATGGAAACGAAGCAAGAATATCCATTCAAATAAATCTTCAATTGGTTATAACGCTAAAATCAAACAAAAAATTTTTATTATCAAAATACTTGATTTACATACATCATTCTATTACAATTATTATTCGATTGGTCCATTCACAATGAAAGACAAAAAAATTGTATTAAAAAAAAATATTGTACACTTACATAGCGACGAATGTTTGTTTTTACCTGTATCTCAGCTACAGTGTGAGAGCATTGTTTTCATCTATGGAGAGACAGACAGGTATATAAAAAATGCATCAACACCAGCATACTAAAATACAATGTCTTATCATATGATAATGCAATATAACACATTGTCACTTGTTACAGATAGTAACACGAGAAGAAAAATAAAACTATAGACCGATACTTCTGTCTCAACATTTTTCATATTAATATTTGATAATGCAAAAGAATTCGAGATAAACTGATAAATAATTTTTTGCTATTTTTGAATAATGTCTTGATGAAAACTAATATCAATCAGTATAAATAGAACACGTTAGAAGGCTGAATGCTGTCTCTGAAAGAATAATATAAATATTTATCATTGCAAAGTAAAAAATAGAATGACGAAGAACTGCATTCGATTTCAATTCATACAAAATACTTTATAATATCGATACAACAACTACTAAAAGTCTGATTCTTTTTATTCAATCTCAACAATTGAAGACAAACTAAAAGATTTTTATTGAACTGAACAATCTTATTTATTCTATTTAAATAAAAGAGAAGTTTAAAATTTCTAAATCTAATAGATCTTCAATTTTATTAATATTTACTTAGAACAAGATTTATAATTTACAATGTAATTTTTAATAAATCTTATTGAACTGAATATTGAACTTTTCTACATGAGTTTTTTTTTTCGATGTAAAATTCAACTTCAACATCGTGAATAGGATTAGTATGAAATCTTGAAAGAAATCTTTTAGAATAATCAATGGATTACAATTTATTACAAAACGAATGAATACAATCAAATAATACTTGAAAAGAAAGCAAATATAAGTTGCATATGGTATATAAAAACGTCATTCTTTTATTTTTTTCTTTTGCATAGGACGACGCAATTTAAGAGATAAAGTTAGATTAATAAACACTAAGTATAGATCATATTACATACAAAATCAACTGCATTAGAAGTTGTTCAAGCTTTAAATGTCAATCTTACATGCAAAACAGTTTTAATTATCAGTGGAACTGCAAGTAAATATATTAACAATGAATGGTTTTGAATATAATTGAGATATTAATCATTTATCTCATTTTTTTATTAAACAAGCAAGACACTTATATACTGATCATAGTATTAAAGTTTTATAGCCATCATCTTAGCACAGTTTTTTTTTATTGATATACTTAATCACATAAGTCAAGAAGAACTTGATTGAATTGATAAACAAACATGAAAACCTATTGAACGTATAAAAACTTCTGAACAAGGATGTATTAACAACTGAATTAGGAAATCAATCGAGTACTTATTATGAGCATTTATGATTTAGCAGTATATTCATTTGAAAACGTTTATAAAAATTAAGCAAAAATTTAGTTGAAAAATTTCTTTAATAAAATAAAACAAAAGAATTCTAAGAAGTTGAATCTAAGATAGTAATAGTTGGAAAACAAGAACGTTGTTTATATGAATCTGGATCTAATTGAAGTCGATTAGGTAAACTTGGAAAATAGGAAGGTTGTCGTTTATCAAATATTTGATCAAATTCCATTTGAATATGTGTTTCACGTGCATGAATTTTTGATGAATCTGTTGAACCATAAAGCCATTCAAGTTCTAATTGACGTAATTTTGTACGATTAATAGGTGGTAATTTACTTATCGATTGAACATTAGGACGCACTAGAACAAAAAAAATATATATATATATTAGTTTTCAACAAGGAATAAGCGTTAAATGAAAAGTTCTATGATTTTCTAATTACTTTGTTCGCCAGGTATTAATTCAAATTGTTCAGCTTCATTTTTTGCTTGTGATTTTTGATTTTCTAGAACAAAAAAAGAATCATTGTCATACTTTCTTCTGTTTAAATTGAAAAGAATCTATATAGAAATGTTTTTGGATGATCATTTATATTAAGTTAAATTTTTATCCACGAAGAAATAGAATTTATGTGAAGGGTTTTAAAGATAGTCAAATTATACTTTCGAAAACAGTATTGTGAAATTTTAAATCATCTACTATTTATAATTTATATGATATTCTTTTGTATGTCATATTGTCCATGATGCTACAGAAAAAAAGTTTTTAAATGGGTTAAGATATCAAAATGTGTTTCGTGTTTTTCCTTTTTTTACTTCTAATAGTTGGAATTTTAGCAATAAAAAAAAACTGATTGTTTTTCAATTATTAACGATCCTCTTGAAATGAATGTTTATCAATAACGAACTGTTACAAGACAGCAACTGAAAAGAATTATATTTGCAATTAAATTGTTTATTCTCTAGCATAAATCATTCTATTCTACTAACTTCGATTTGCTTTATGATCTCGTGACAGACGATAAAAATCTAGTAAATCATCGTCAATCGTAAATTCAAGTTGTTTATCTTGGTCATCATCAATCATTGTATTTTCTTCTTCTTTTCTCATCAATATTGGTACATTATTGATTGTATTTCCTTGAATCCATTGCATAGCTGTTTGATAATTTTTCCAATAAGTCAAATCATTATTCTCCATTTTTATAATTGTCTAAAATTATAACAAATATTGTCTTTTCTTTTTCTTTTCATTTGATATGCCTCTCTCTCTATATATATATAATTATTTAAGTAGAATATATATGACAAAAAAATAAAACAATATTACAAGAAAAATAATTTTTTTTTTATTTTTTAAAAAAGAAAAACTCTAGAGTTCATTTGTAATGTTTGATTTCTTTCATTCAGAAAATATAAAATAACGATCGTATTTGATTAACATGTAATTCCGTCAAAAATATTGTTATTAATAAAGATATCCAACCAAGCATATTTGCTTTGTGTATAAATTCCTAAACAAAACAAAAAAACAAATACAACTATACATTTATGCAGATGTAATTTAATTTAATAACAAACCTATGCTCGATCAAAGAAAATAGCAATTATAAGATAATCTTGAATACTTATTGCTGATAAATATCTCCATAAATAAAATATTAATATCGCTAATGGTGAATGAAGAATTGTTAATTGTAAAGTCTAAATTTTCAAAAAATAAATTCAAAAATCTAATAGAATAATTTCTAACTTGTTGGTGTATTTTATCTTTATATGAATCTAATAAATCTTCATATGCTTGTACATCTCTATCCCAAAATATCGCTGCTAATGCATATCGTAAAGTAAAAAGACTTAAAAAAATAAATATTCTTCCATTTGTTTTAAATATATTATTATTCATATGATTAATTGATGGTATTTTTTTTTTGTTCATCATCAATATTTAATATGATTAAATCTATTTCTTCATTTTCATTATCATTCGATCGACTTAAACGTGTTGATAATGATTGATTAACTTGATGTATTATTGATCGAAATGGTCGTTGTTTATAAAAATAAAGTAAACATCCAATAATAAGACATATTCCACCAAATACATCACTTAGACTATCAATATAAAAACCAAAATTATCATGATACGACTTATAATGTGAATTTTTTATATGTGCACGAAATACAACACCATCAAGACAATCAAGAAAATTACGAAATTCAAAAATTAAAATGCCTATTCGACGTTGAAATAATAATTCACTTGAAAAAAATTTTATTGAAATTAATGATAAAAAACAATGAAATATTGATATAATATTAACTGATATTGATGGAAAATAATATGTAAAATGAAGATTTGATTCAACATATTCAGCTAATGGTGATCTAACATACTGTGCCTAAATATAACAAAAAAAAACCTGTTAGTACAATCTCTGGTGGAATTAAAATGTGAAACACAATGTAGCTGTTGTTACTAATCACAGGTAGTTTGTTTTATTTGATCTATTTTGGGATACATTTCTTCAGCACTCTAATCAGTCAAAATACAGCAGTGGACGAAAATCTTCGTTCCAGCTGATCTCGATCACTGGTGGTCTGAAAATTTGTGTGTACGTATGTCATCAAGAATGCATGTTATTGACACTGCGGCATCAGTATTGCTCTATTACAATGAGAGTTATGATAGACGATACTTAAATTTTGTTCTAAGCATTATAACCTTAAAAAAAGACTGCCTACAAAATAGGACTAATTCTTGATATTTATATATACATATTTGAGGTCTCGTCTACAACCTTTCTTCAGCCAAAAGATAAGTGCATTTGCTTGGATATTGATGTTTCTGGATTCTTGAAGCTAATAAAATTATCAACTATGTTCTGTTTCTCTTTAGTGCAAGATTCACTTCTGAAACTTGTACATAATAATAATAATATCTAACTGTAGAAGAAGCTTCTCAAAAATTTTGAACTCGTTTCATTGAATTACCACTGATTTATTGACTTTCAAAGGACAGCAGATGGTTTGTCTCCACAATAATAATAATAACAGTAAAATGAGCATAGTCTTTGAAATGATTGATGAACTTTAATGAAATTAGTAATGTAGATAGCTGAGACATAACATTACATATTGAGGAGTTTGCTAACAAAGAATACTTCTCGTTTCCAGGGTTATGAAAATGATAACAAAAATATATACCATCCATCATAATTTCCTTTGTAATTAAGTAATGATGACGTCGCAATGCCAATGACCTAGCTTCTTGGCGAAGTACACGTACATAAATTTTCAGACTTTCAACACATACAGTGGCTAGGACGAAGATCTTTGCCGACTACTGTATATGGTGAATAGAAAACATAATCATTCTATAGTGTTTTCGTTTATATTATTATTTAGCATATTTATTGACTGTTTGTATGAGCAAAGACTTAGAGGATGAGTCAAATAAGAGATCGAAAAAAACAGATTGCTGGTTCATTTCTAAGAGTAGATCATAATCTCTTCTTGTTCATATTACTAATTTTAAAATATATATTGATTGATTATAACGAAATTCACCGTCATTTTTTAAATTAAAAAAATTCTCATGTTTATTTTCGGCATTTAAAATCATTGTAAGTAATAGTCAAATTTGATCGATAAGCAACGCATGAAATATTAAATCTTCTTTTTTTTTAAATATAAAAAAGGACACTAAAACATTCTCTAGAATGACTCAAACACTATTAATATCATACATTGTTTATTCGTTAGTTATACTGATTTTAGAAAGACGAAATTGATGTAACAATATTTTTGATCATCATACTATTATTTCTCAATAGGGTGTAGATACTGTTCAACAACGACAATAATCTCATCCACATACTCATTGATGATGCTCTCACTTCAAGAGGGAAAAAGCAAAAAACTCCGTACTTCAAGATTTGCGTATCAGTAAAATACGATGGAGAATTTGGACTTTATTATCAGACAGAATTCACACTAATATTCTCGTGACACACTTTGATAATAGACTTGAAATAGCTAAGAAGTTCTAAATGATAGTTTTGGCATAGCCTATCAATTAAGAGAAATAATATTTTTAAATGGATATGTGTTTCTTTTTACAGATATACATACTCGATTCACTATGTAGAAGTATTCGAGAAAGAGATAATAAAAAATCACAACTCGAAAAACAAAATTAATGATCAAATGTGTTTTTTTTTGTTGACAAATTGCAATCGATTTAATCATGTTTTTATTTAAAAAACTTGAATTTTTTAAATAGAAATCAGTTTTTTTAGTTGTTTTAATAGACGTAACTCTAATATAAATGAAAAATATAGGATGTGTGTGTTCTATATCGAATTTATCTGAATAATAGATAAACATTCGATTTCTACAAGCTAAAAATTGATTATTGACGTGTTTTAAACATAATCATAATCGAATATCGATAAGTACTTTCAAACAAACTTATATGTATATTTGAAACTTAAAACACTTACAATTTGTCCAACCATCATTTTTTTGATTGATAATGAATTAAATATATGATTATCATTAGATGTTTCAGTCATTTTTTGATGAAATTTATTTAAATTTGTATGATTTGTTATTGTAATAACATTTAAATCTAATGATCCTCTTGAACGTATTTTAAAATAAAGTATTATATCCATTATTTGTAAATAGATAATAAGAAGTAAAAAGCATGAATAAATTGGATATGCTATAAAAAGATGAAATGTACGAACATAAAAACGTTCATGTTGATAAGCAGATCGTGCTAGACCAGCTCCATTACTTATTTTACGTATATCGATAACCATGGATTAATATGGTTTTACACATAGAATAAATACACTAGAAAATAAATAAATCCTATTGTAATTTTATATATGCCAAGCTGAGAGAAGAGAAATAAGCTTCTGACATCAGGCCATAATCAGCTGTTTTTCGCATACTTGTATTCTATTGTTAGATTCATCATATCGTTCGTTTTTCTCTTTCTTTGGCTCATGCTTTAAGCAAAGTTTTCGATAGCATAGTAAAACATGAGACGATTCTCGCGTGTCTTTATTCATAGTTACTCATTTACATTCCTGATCACATATTTCTATTAACAAACAAAAGAAATCAATTTTTTGTTCCCCTAGTTCACGATGGAATAAAGAGTTTCTTAGGGAGCAAAAAACAAAAAACGCTGAAATTCCGCTAGAGAAAAACGAAAATTTTTCAAGATCATTCGCAACAAATAACTCAATCGTAAACTGACATATTCATTAAAATGAAATAATAAACACTTATGATATTCAACTCTATATACTCATAAGAACAAAAATAAAACGTATTCATAACAGAAAACAAAAACATATGTATATTAAACTTACTTTATCCGAATCCCGTAATCGATGATGTATCAATGGCATTATGAACTAATGTAAAGAAAAGAAAATATAGAATATACGTTTGTTAGATGTTTACAGTTCTTATCAAATATTTTTTTTTCGAATTCTTTTGAATTGGTTCATAGTTTTTGTTTTGGATCCAAGTGAAAAAGACAAATAAAAGATATGACAACATATGCTTGAGTAGATTATTTTCTTGATTTATATTCAAGGTAAACAAAAACAAAAACAGATTAGTAGTAGTAACAATTGAAAAAACAAATTAAACGATAACGTTATATTTTGTTTCTGTACGTTTTAGAATAAAAGACAGAAAAAAAAAAAACTTAATAAAATTATTAACTTGTATCCATTGTATTGTCAGATGATTTTTCTTCATGAGATTTTTTATAATGTTTTTCTAGTGCTTGTGCAAAAGCTTGTAAATCACCTTGATTAGCTGCTTTTATTGCATCATCTGGTAAACCAAATTGAATAAGAACAGGTCCTAATTCACCTGATTGAAGAGCAACACTAAGTTTAAAAAAAGAACAAAGACTATAAACAAACTTTCATATTATTAAACAAACCTAAATGCACTAACAACTTGTCGAAATTGAGGTGACTGAATTGATTCTTTTAACTCTTCTTCTGTATTTGGTATTGTATTATCTTCAGGCAAATGAGCACGTAATTTTTCTTGTACATCTTTATTAGCTAATAATGAAACCAAATTCTAAAATAGTTACTTGATAAGATCGAAAAACAAAAATTCTATCAAATATACTTCATTAGTCATTATATCACATAGATCAATGACAGGTTTAGATGAAGATGTTGTTGTTGTTGCTTCAGTTGCATTACTACTCAAATTAGCCAGAACACTTGTCAAAGCACTCATTTGAATAGAACCACTTTTTGATCCACTAGATGCTGTTGAACTAGCAGTACTTTTAGGTGCTGCAGCAGGTGACGATGAACTTGTTCCACCATTACGTGGTTTTGATGATGAACCACTATTACGAGTAGTAGATGTAACCGTTGTACTAGCTGGTGCTGTATTTGGCCGAGAATCAGTTACATGCTGCGTTGAACTACTAGAAGATCCTCCACTATGTTGCGTGCCTTGTATCAAACCAGTACTTCGACCACTACGTCCAAATGATGACGAAAGTAATGATGCAAAATCATTTGGATCTAAGTCTATCACAAAAAGAAATTTTTGTTTTTTTTTTTTGAAAGAACGAAGAAAAATTGAGATTTACTTCGAAGAACATTCGATAAATCATTTGGATCAATACCACTACCTGCACCACCAGCCATTCGTTCCATAAATGGTTGTAATGGATGAGTATCACTAATATCATCACCAAAACCAGGTGTTGGTGGATGATTAAGCTAGTAAAATTATATATTGAATATAATTAAATTTTCAAAACAAAAAAAAAGTGAACTTACCAGATCATTTATCTTTTTACAAAATTCTTCATCTTGATCTTCTTTTGGTTCTTGCATCCAAAAAAATAATTTACGAGAATTAATTCGCCATTTAAGAATATATACACGTCCTATAATGTAGATATAAATTGTTTTTTTTTCTCATTTGTAAAAATTTTTTATTTTCACCTGTTGTACTTTGTGTTACTTTTTTAAATTCAATTTCATCTGGAAATATAACAAGATCATCTTCAGTTGAATTATTTGATCGATCTTTCCAACATAAATGCATCAGCATATCATTGCCTTGATATAAATAAAGAAGTCCTTTTCGTTTATCTGGATAGACCTATAATAAAAATATATAGAAATACAAATATTCAAATTTACGTAACACACCATGTTACCACGTAGATTCATTTTACCAGCTTTAAACTCGACTAAATTTCGACTACGTGCTTGAGAGGCAGATCCACCAAAGAGTGACATTTTATGTCTATTTGTTTTTTTGTTGAAATGATTAGTAGTATTAATTTATCAAAGAAAACAATATATGATGAAAATCTGTCAGGCATATCATGACGAATGTATAACTTCGATTTGATTGGTGCAAACTACTATCAATGTAAAATTAGCACTGTCTGTCAATGGTAATTATGAACTCTTTTGACTTGAATAAAAACAAAACTAATTTAATGAAAATATTTACTTCTACTGATCAGTTCAATAAATGGGAATGAAATCTTTGGAAAACAATGTGAAGACTTATGGCTCCATCTCTAATGCATTAAACAGAAGTATATAGCATGAGGGTCTTCAGATTGTTGAGGAAATATATAAGAAAATATCTCATCGAGGTAATAAAGTTTTAAAAAATCTTGCTAGGTTTATTTGCTAATACGAAATAATTTTCAATTACTGATTAGGGATCCTTTGTTTTCGTGGCTCCTGCGATTTAATATAGATATGAATTATTTATCTTCCTTCTCTGAAAACTCATCTTAGCATAAAATATAATTCCTATCGAAGTGTAACATTTTAATCATTTTCATCTAAATTATTAGAATACTCTTCTCTTTTTCTGTGAATAAAACCATTATAAAAATAATACAACTCTACAAATGTGATTTCATCAATTGACTGAGTGTATAACAAAAGATGTATTGCAAACAGTTGTAATATTACAGAATTTTCGACATCGATATTATCCTATGTTTTCGTCATGACTTTTCTTTATGGTAAGAACTCCGATTTCAACTTATTTTGAAGAAAGAGATAGCAATTGACTAAAAAATTTATTAAAATTGCTGTCCACTTTGAACATCTTCGATAGATTCAATTTATTTCAAAATAGTAATAATTGCCCTGTAAAATCTAATATTTTGCTGAGAAAGTTTCATGTTTATTACCATTTGTGTGTATGCTTCAATTTATAATCATTCGTTCAAATTTATTAATCAAAAATATATATAAATTATCATTGACATTTTGCTTCACTAATTATCATGAAGAAATTATGTTATTGTTCTTCGAGATCGATAAAAAGAAACAACTGCAATAATAATAATATATATTCCTGTTAAACTAAATCCAACAATCATCATAATCAAATAAGGTTTTGATGACGATGGTTTTTCCCATCGTATATTAACATGTTGTGTTTTATCATAATAACATGTATGATTAGTTCGTATATTATAAATAGTTATTTTTTTTAATGCTTCATCTAATGTTTCATATATATGTATTATTGTTGAAAATGTATATTTATGAGATTTTGAAATATGATATTCAATAGACCACATAACACAATAACATGAATCTTGACATATATCATAATCAACATCAACAATAAAACATGTAGTATTTTTATGTGTTGTATAAGTAATATGTGTTGGTATAAAACGACCAATACCAACAACTCCAATAATGAATGAAGTTAAACCAATAATAGTAAAATTAATAAGAAAAAAAAAATATAATGTACATGAAACAAAACTTAATATACGACTTGCCATTTTATATTCATAAAATTTATAATCATTTATTAAGACGGTAAAATTTTTACTTCTTTGTTCTATGAATGCAGACACACACACATACTAAATAAGAAATCATAGAAAAAAAAAATATGAAAATTCAACTTGAGATCATGAAGAAAAAAATAATGAAGTGTATGTAGAGACAACAAATGTTCTACTGCCTCTTATGAGATTTTTATCGTTGTCTACATTCTATTGTAAGAACAAAAAAAAGAAAATGTCTTAATGCACTTATTAACAATGCTAGTCCATATATGACATGAGTCAACCAAAAGAGATCAGAAAAAAAATTTTTTAAGTATACATTGTACGTGTGTACAAGTTCAAACACAAGATCTTTTTGTTTATTTTGAATATAAAACTAGAAAATAATTTAAATCGTGGTCTCCTATGAAAGATTTTGATTATGCGCACATGCACTTTACTATTGTTTTGCTTTCTTCTTGTGTTTGATTGACACAAATAATATGCGCAATTCAAAAGAAAAAAAAAATTTTTCTATTTATTGATTAAAACAAATTTTTTATTTCAGAGTACAATGATTCGAATTTTCATCATTACTTTTACATATTATATTACATTGGAAAAACAAGCACGTTCATAAATTCACTGACAACTTCAACTTTATGACTCATGTTGCTTGTCTATATGATTTTAATTCAAATAACATTACTTTTTTTTTTTTACAAAAATATTTTTGCATTGATGTTGCAATTGGTTTTACAGGAAATTATTAAATTTATATATTATCTAAATAGTTAATAACTTCATGATATTCATTAGTTAAGAGTGACTTTCAATGCCTTCCGAGATGTGTCAACTGTAGACCTAGGTCACATAAACACGGTCGTTATAGATAGGTTTTGTACTGTTTGGTAAGCGTAGCATTACGACTGTATTGTAAACGATTAGAAACTCAATTTGCACACAGTTATGCACTAGGTACGATACGATAAAATACGGTGCCTACCAAACGTCAACTTACAACTATTTACGATCACAAACTGTATGAAACGATAGTATACAAATTACTCCTACAGTTTCTCCCGATTACATTTCGTCTCATAGCTTCACAAAGATCAATCCCTATAGTTATCCCTTTACTCCTTGGCACTAATCCAACAGAGTTGGTGTTCAGTCGACTACAAAAATAGCTTATGTAGGTGTTCAATATGACACAAGTATAGTTAAATTTGAGTGGTGTCATTGTACTGTGAAGACGTAGAATGAGTCGAAAATGATCCATTCGTCGTGAATGGTATAAAAATTGAATTTTTTATGGCCTGTCGCAATTGTGTGTTTACTTATCTGTATTAAACTGAAAAATTCTCTATTATGGGTTATTTTTTGAAAAATGAGTTGTTTTAGCAACGACATATGATTAGACATCGGCAAAGACGACTGTTTTTTTTTTAATTGAAATCAGCTCTTTCATTTTCGGAATCATTAGTATTCATTTTCTTTTCTTTTTGACGTCTACTCAACAGTCTCATCTACACATTCTCGTCTCTGATCTTGAATCTCAATATACTGACATTTATCTGTATTGGAAAGTGGCAAGATTAAGTTCTATCAAAGATTATTTTGACAATTGTTGATTTTTCTATTTTCAAAAATAAAATACACGAAAAGAAAAGAAATAACGTATTCTATCCAATTATCTTATTCACTAATACTCTAGATGCCTAGAAACATGTCTACTTTGAAAACCACATAACCTCACTATAGTGGACACTTTTAACAAGTCCGAAGAGTGTCCACTATAGAGAAGTTTTGGTGTATTTCATTGTGAAGATCGAAATTTTAGAAATAATTCCAGGTCAAAAAATACAGGCCGTTCCCAATTGAAAAACTTGGGAACAAAAATCCGTTGACAGGCTCTGCCCGGAACTATAAAAATCTGGGCACCAGATTCCTACTTGCAGTTGTAAAATATCTACGAGCAGGTTATACAAACTTGCCGTGATCGGCTAATACCATCATATTTTCAACAACCGTGTATCAATCAAAAAATCCTTCAATTACTAAACTTGCTAAATGTATATAACATGAACAATCTAGATTTAAGATTGATATTAAACGATTTCATGGAGCTGAACAACCAAACAAAAAGAAAAAAGTTTATGCGAATTTTGATGTACGATCAAAAACAAATCGTACTGTCTTATGATGTTAACAATATTGAAGAATATTTAATTCAAACTGTTATAATGAAAATAAATGGTCACTGTATACAGTAACGTTTTTTTGACCGTCTCGGCAACTATAATTACTATTCTGAGAACATATGCGATATTATTCTGGAATTAGTTGAAGATTCTTCAGATAATACTCTACATTTATTTGAATTATTTTACTACGTATGTTTCCACCGATATAAACAAAAAAAAATTACAAGAACTAATTGTGATATCTGATTCATACAAAAGCATGATGAGATTTCATGTCGTATGACATACAATTAATGTTTTATACAATAAATGAAAATAACCAAAGAAGACACAAAAGAAAAAAAGAAAAATCACAGATTTAATCAGTTTCATCTGGTACAGATATACGTGCTTTCTTTTTAGCTGGACGTTCATGATTAATCGATGAACCTTGAACAAATTTTGCTGCTTCGTGTTTTAATAAATTTATTTCACTTTCATCTGTTGAACTATTTTCTTCATCATCAGAATGTCGAGTTTTTTTACGTGGTTTCCAATCATTATCAGGATCTATTTGAGAACTTTCTAAAGTATACATTAAACTTGAATGAAAAAGAAAAAAAAACAGAACAAAATCATCTACCGGTTCGATCAATACGTCCGCTATCATTAAGATCTTCATCATCAATGAAACTATCATTATAATCATATTCATTTGGTAATCCATCATCATCATCTTCTTCTTCATCATTACTTCCTAGAAAAAAAAAGAAAAATATTCATTTCGAATATATCAATTAAAATTCTTTGATTTTACTACCTTTACGTTTTGATGTTCGTCGTTTAGTTTTATTTATTGTTGATGATTTTTGAGTATGATTATATTCATTAAAATGATCTGGATTTTTTCTATAACACTCACTTCCATATGGACAGTCAGGTTTTTTATCATCGATATCATTTTCTTTGTTATCCCAATCGGGATCACCAGGATGAATAGCTTCTTGACGATGAGTTGGATTCTTTCGATAACAAAATTTTCCATATGGACATCGTTCTCGTTTAATTGGTTTATTAACTGTTGATGACATTTGATTGCTTTGATCTATAATACATCAACAATAGAAACAATAAAATTTTTTGCAAAAAAATTTAAACAACCTTTTGAAGTAGTCGCTGTTATAGTAGATTCTTCGTTCGATTCTTCATCATCTTCGTATACAATTCCTTCGGCTTTTTTTCGTCCGATATCTAATAACGATCAATCAAACCCGACATTTTTGTTATTGATAATATA